AGAGAGAGAGAGAGAGAGAGAGAGAGAGAGAGAGAACGTTCGTGAGCTATAGAGGTGGAGATAAAAGCTATGAAGATATATGAGGTGAGGGGAGATATTACAGTACAGATAGAGGGGGATAGAGGGAGGGAGGGAAGGAGAGGGAGGTGCTTTTGTAAGCCTTGACCCAAGCATTAAACTACATTTTGATGATGTTGAAAGGTGTATCTTTGATACAGCTTATGGACGGTGTGAAAATAGACATTTCTCAAAATTTGGGCTCAGTGGATTGCTGGCTGTAGCGAATATTTTTGTTGTTGTTGTTTCAAGAATGATGTATCGTTTATTTGAACTGGTTTTGTTTGTGCTCTTTCAGAGTGCGAAGGAGAAACGTGATGCTACGACTTCAACCACTTTGCCTGGAGAGGTGAGCTCTTACTTTTTTGTTCTTTCTTGTTGTTGTTGTTGTTGTTGTTACAGATGTTTTTGTTGTTACAGATGTTGTTGTTGTTGTTGTTGTTGCTGTTCTTGTTGTTGTTACAGATGTTGTTGTTGTTGCTGTTCTTGTTGTTGTTACAGATATTGTTGTTGCTGCTGTTGTTGTAATGTTGTTGTTGTTCTTATTGTTGTTCTTGTTTAATAATTTGACCTTTGCCCTATATCCCTTTTAATGAGTATGGGTGGTTGGTGGGTGCTCTGGTGTGGTTTGCTTCTTTTTTCCAATCAAACATCTATCGTCCTTATCTCCCTTAATTCTTTTTTATGTTTGTTTCTCTCTTGTAACACCTTTAATTTTCTGGCACTCATATGACCTTATTGTGTTGCAAGTGCTGTAAAACCCTTTAAAAAAAAAAAGGCCTTTGCCCTATATCCCGTCTAATAATTTGACCTTTGCCCCCCCAGCTGTTCCAGTCCAAGAGTGAGCAGGGCGGGGGTGCGGTGGGTGGCTACGTGTCAGACCGGGCCTCTGCCCCCAGCGGTCAAACGGTCAGCATCGCCACGCAGACAGGGGAGGTGACCGTGAAGGAGTCGGGCCTGGCCGGGGGGATGGCCGCCGGCCTCCCACTCACCCCGAGTCTGGCCATGTACCACGGCAGTTGGCCCATGGAGAATGGTAGGTGGATGTTGTCAATTTGTCGTGGGGAATTTTCAGGTCAGACTATCTGATCCTGATTCTGATCTTTGGCACTTCTATGACCTTATTGTGTTTGTTACTCTCTTGTAACACCTCTAATCTTTGGCATTTATATGACCTTATTGTGTTGCAAGGGCCGTAAAACTCTTCCTAAACATTGATCCTGTCAATGTTCTCTTTCCCATGGGTGGTTGGTGGGTGCTCTGGTGTGGTTTGCTCCTTTTAAGCTGTCATACTTTCATCTTGTTTAAAAAATCTCTCCTCTTCTTTTTTGCAAGTGCTGTAAAACTTTTATGAAAACTAAAACATCTATCATCCTTATCTCTCCTCCTTTTTTGTGTTTGTTACTCTCTTGTGACACCTCTAATATTCGGCAGCTATATGACCTTATTGTGTTGCAAGTGTCGTAAAACTCTTACTGAATCTAAAATCTGGCCCCCTTCCTCTC